CGCTCTTAAAATAGCTTTTTTTTTCTATTTTTCAGTAGTAGCTTCAAGTTCAATTACTAAATAGTTGAGACTTGGATCTGAAGAAAAACGTTGATCACATGTCTCAATGGTACTCTGAAGATGAACAGATGATATCATTTACGAGTTTTCCTTTTGTCATTTTTGCACTCGAGCCACACATTCACTCGGCAAAAGTTCATTATCATTTTCAATTCTTGTAATCAATGACAGCAGTAATCAGAGAGAAGGAATGATATATGTATTTAGTCTCAGCTTTTAAGTCTCTCTCAAAATCATTACTACTAAAGTAATCCTAACATCTGATTGTTATTCTTGAACAAATCAAATTTGTCTGCTTTTTTGCATCTATCAACTCATGTTTTAAACAAATGTTCATCTTTCATGGAAAATATATGAAAACTAATGTTACTGATTTTATCACAATTATAACAAACAACCACAGCACATCAGAGACCACTACTCATGATGAGACCTTTTTGTTAGCAAAGGTAAACAAACACTGAATCAGAAACAATAACAGATTTGGCTATTTCGTTTCAAGTGTTTCAATAGGAAAGCAAGATGAAATGAGCTACAAGTTGCATAACAGGGGCTAAGAACAAGTCTTGTCATAACAGTCTTGGTCACATAAGGTTCTGGTGTTTTTTGTTGTGGTAGCTCAGTCTTGTTTCTGTGTTGATATCTGTTGCCAGGAGATGTTCTTTGACAAATATGAATTAACTAATACACTACTTATGTTTTCATTAAGATCCATATACTACACCGAGATACCTCATGTTAATAGTATTTGTGATCACTAATAGACAGACAGTCATATAGCTTTAAATTCCTATTTATGACATTTGTAGAAAGTAAAAATATTAATATTTTCTGGCTTATATTTTAATACCCGTTTTATATCTGTTTTTAAACCCTTTAATCTAAACACCCATTAACATGCCTGAGACCTTTGAATTTGACTGACCTTGTAATTTTAAAACACTATGTAGTACAATGCTGATCATGTTTTTAAACATTCAATCATAAAAACATTAACCAAGTTTTTTAGTATTGCTGAAGTACTGAAATATTTTTTAAGCAATCAATTTGAATAACAAAACAACAATGTACAAATACAGGAACACTTATTTACTGTATGTAATAAGAAATCTTGTAATTGCATTTTACTTCATTTTAACTTACAGAACTGTTTACCAATATTCTTCCTTATTCTTTGTGAATTTAAACGTTTTAAAGAATATCACAACCTTTTAAAAACATTCACATCTACACTTAGATCTTTTAGAAATCACGCCATAGAAGTGAAATGCTTTAATGTATTGATCACAATCATTTTTCCTCCCATTAGTTTAAGCTCTTATTATGTACAGTTAATGCTAGCTATAAAACATTTCCATATATGGTACAACATTAATACTAACTATAAAACAGTTCCATGTATGGTATGACATTGTCATTAGTTTGGTTACATTAGTTTTTGTTAATTACTTTATTTGCAATTTTTATAACTTTCTAAATCTTACTGTTGTTGTCATTCAACTTACACGAGCTTTAGCATATCAACCTTTTGGCTTTTACAGAAGATTTCTTGTTAATTACTTAAAGTATTTTGTTAAAGAAATTAAAGTGGAAGTGGTTGTGTTAAGCACCTCTTATACTGTTTTCTTTGTATTACATTTAATACATTTTTATTTTAAATACAGAACCAACATTCTTGATCTTTATTATATGATTCATGTATTGATTTATAATTTTTAAAAAAATTATAATAAATAATTAAAAACAATTTTTATATTTACACAAGAAAAACTTTATTGAAGCCATACGGCTTCCACTTTAAAATATCTCTCTACAACTACATGTTTTGACGTGATCTACGTCATTCCCAGGAGTAACTTACAAGACTATTTTATACTTTCCCCCTTGTTGCATTACTTCATTGTTATTTACATATTTCCGTTAATAAAAATAAAAAATAATAATATATCTTGCCATATATCAATGCATTGAATTGCTGGTCCTTCATTTCTATTTAATACTTGTTTTTGCTTTTCATATTTCATTATTTCTAATGTTTCTCTAATGTTTAATGATATAAAACTTCGAGGCTGAGCTAAAAATAAA